AGGTCCCCGCCCCGCCCCAGGCCTTAACCACCCTATAGTCTGTGCTCATGGGCAAAATATACCCCAGACTCTTTAATGGGTCCCTGTGCCCCCCCATGACTTAGCTGTAGCCAATTATGCTGAACATTTGTCAGCTCCCCAAATCTACTTCTGACCCTTGTTCAGCTCTGCCCTCTACATGAAACATTTCCTCCCAGCTTCTCGTGTCCGCCCCCACACACTTAAATACTCACCCACTCGCTCCGCTCCCTAGCCCCACTCAGCCTGCAGTTCACCTAAAACTTCATTCCCTCCGGGAAGCCTAATTCAGCTTCCCCAACTAGAATCACTGTTACCAGAACAGTGGTTCTCAAAATGTGGTCCCTGGACCGAGAGCATGAGCATCTCCTGGGCACTCATGAGAGACATGCAGATTTGGGCCTCTCTCCACCCCAGACCCATGAGTCAGAAATTCTGAGGCTGCAGCCCAGCAATTAGCAGTTAAGAAGCCAAGTGACTGTAATGGCCCAAAATGTGGAGAAGCAGGTGTGCCCGCAGCATCCTGCGCTTACCCCCTCCCCGGCCCTTTACTCCACCTTGATTGCATAACTGGGGGAGTTTCTGTGCCACTACAGCACCTGAGTCTTATCCCCAGAGGTTGAGATTTTATGATCCCTTGCGTGACTCTATTGTGCACCCAGCCCGAGGAGCTCTGCCCCACCAGGACACACTATTGGAGTGGCTCATTTAACTGTCCCCCTCACCGGTGGCCTCTGAGCGCAGAGCTGGCCCAGCCCCAGGTCCTGCCCACCCGCACATCCCTGGTGCTGAGGGCTGTGCCAGGGTCCTGCTGGCCCAGTCAGTGTCATAGAGGCAACAGTGAAGTGTGAATGCCTAATACCCAAGCTTTCCCATCCTTAGTTTTTCTTTTACTTCATTTTTACTTAATATTTACTTCATCTTTTACTTAATATTTACTTTAAAAAAAATTTCTCCTTTCTCAATTCTGGGTGTTTGGAAGATTTGAGAAAACAGTCTCCTCGTGGGCTTGCTCAGATCCCTTAGTCAAGGGTCAACTTTTGGCCGTATACTTTTTTTTTTTTTTTTAAATATATCTTTATTGATTTCAGAGAGAGGAAAGGAGAGGGAGAGAGAGAGACAGAAACATCAATGAGGAGAGAGTCATTGGTCAAGCCCACAACCCGGGCATGTGCCCTGACCGGGAATCGAACCCTGATCACCTGGATCCTAGGCCGACGCTTAACCGCTGAGCCACGCCCAGCCGGGCTTGGCCGTATACTTTAAAAAATTATTTTCAGTTTCTTAAAAGCAAGTGAAAAGGAGATGACTTATCTTTGGCGTTCAGAGCTTTGGAATAAAGAAGATATTTATCAAGAAGCAGTGCCCATGGCTATTTCTTCAAAGCCACTTGCCAGGGAGACAACTCCTAACTCATGTACTTTCGAATGGAAGCCGTAGTGATTTTTGTAAACGGTACCCTGCGTACTTATGTTTAAATTGCATTTAAAACCTGCCTTCCCAAAGTACGGGTGGTGAGGTCAACTGTATGCCTTGTTATTATTTTAATCTTCCTTTGGCATTGGGACTGTGAGTGCCGACCCTGAATTTACTTGTAAAGTTTTCGAAAAAGCGCTGCATCGTTTCAAAGTCAACATATTTTCCATCCATCTTAGAAACCTTCAAAAGTGTTTCAAGAGGAACAAATTGTCCTTCCTCAACCAGAATTGAGGTTGAATATAAAACAGCAAGATCTTTTGAACTGTAATTACAATCCTGCAGGGAAAAACACTAAACAAAAACCTTCTTGTTTTCAAACGGTTGTTCTTTCCGATTAAATATGCACGATGCCCCCGACAGCTCTCACCTCTCTCTTTCTCTCTGTCACCTGTGCAGAGTAAAAAATATGAAATACATGGTACTTGAAACTTTAGCATCCTGAATTACCCAGGTTGCCAACCCTAATTTGAGAGGACAATTGCTCTTTGTACCTTATCTTTACATATTCTAGAAGAATGCTCCAGTATACTATTCGTGTGTTGAAAACAAAACACAGACCAAGAAAAAACAATAGTTTTATACTATCTATTAAAGAGACTGTAGGTACAGATTTAATGTTGCCCCAGAATTATCTAAATGTACACACCATAAAAGACTAGCATCACCAATTGATTTCTTTCCCCTCGCCTGACTCCCTTTGAACCTCTGCATATTTCCAGGGCAGGGGCCATGGTTCGTTATTTAGAGAGCGCCTGGTATTGATAGAGGCTCCAATATTGTTGCCGGCTGTGGCTGAGTCCAGCAGATAAGAGCTGTGGCTCTGAACATCTGTTTAGAGAATGTTGAAGATCACATCTCTGCCATCCATATACTATTTTTTCAGCATTATTGTTTAAACTATTCCTTTTTAAATGAATGGCATCTGCTGGTATTGTTAAGAATCCAAATGTGATAAGCACTGATTTGGGCTGGTTGTCAGAGGCCAGGGTTCTAGTTCCACCTTGGTCACTGGCTAGTTTTCATGAGCAAAATGATTAATCACGCTGAAGCTCAGTGTCCTCATTTGTAAAACTAACCCTAACCTCTAAAGGTTCTTTTTATGATTCATGTTGCAAAGACATCATGAACCTGACCTTACCTCAGATCTATTGAAACATTGTGTTTATACAATAGGGCACATATATCATACCTGTTTACTCACTGTATTGCCAGTGATACAAGTCAAGGAAAAGGTTGTAAATACGTGAAACAGTTCCTTCCTTCCTTCCTTCCTTCCTTCCTTCCTTCCTTCCTTCCTCCCTCCCTCCCTCCCTCCCT